TTACCTATAGCTTTAAAAAGGGGTGTAAAATTTTTTATTTTATAAGGTTTTAAAATTATACCCAAGGCTATAAGTAAAGTAGTTACCTTTTTTATTTTTTTATAAAATTTTAAGGTTTAATAAACTATAGCTGGAACGCTGCCGGCTTGGTATTAAAACTTATTTTAAATTATAATTTAAAATAAAGACTATATTTATATTAAAGTTAAAGTGTTAAAAAAAAAAAATCTTTTATTTTTTTTTAAAAAAAAATAATAACTAACTACGCGGCAAGGCTATAATAAGAAACTACTATTTAATATTAAAAGTAAAAGTAGGGGCCTTTTTAGGCGTTTTTTTTTTATATTTAGTATTTTTTAAAAAAAAAGGCGTAACAGGCTTATTTTTTAAGAAAAAAATATTAGTAAACTAGTAACTATTTTAGCTATTATTAAAATAGGCCGGGGGCTATTTAGTGGTAAGCTAAAAAAATTAAACAAGCTTTTAAATAGCTAAAGCTAAAATTTTTATTACACAAACCTTAGGGCTTATTTTTTTTTATAAGCCTTTATTATTAGTTTAACCTAATAAGTAAACATGTTTTAATAATAAAAATATTTATTATAATTACTAGGATTTATTTATTATAAAAAGGTAATATTTTTTTTTATATAAAATAGTAGGGGGAGGCAAGTGCCCTTATTATAAATATAATAAAAGTAATTACGCCCGGGGGCTAAATAAATATAGTTATTAAGGCTATTAATTAACTTATTATTTTTATATGCCTAAATATACTTTATATACTATAAGTAAATTTATTTTTTATTAGCTAATATTTATACTAGAGCTATTTTACCAGCAGACTAGTTAAAAATAGGGTATATTTATAAAAAAAAAAAGGCTAGAAACTAAAAAAAAGCTTAAAAAAGTGGTAGTATAAAACCTATAATAAGGGTATTAATAATAATAATAACTAACACAGCGCGAGGTAAAGTAAAAAAAAGTAAGTTAAAAAGCACGGGGGCTATAATTAAATAATAAGGTAGTTATTATAAAATTAAAAGTTAATATTTTTAGTAAAATGCTAGTAAAGCGCTACTAGTTAATAATTATTAAAATAAAAAAAACTTATTAAATTATTATTTATAACCTTACTATATATTTTAAAGGTGTTTATTAAATATAAATTATATTAGTTATTACTATTATTATTACCGCCCAAGAATTAATTAAAATTAAAGTTTTTAAATTTAAAAAAAAATAAGGGTAAAAAAAAAATTAAAAATATTAAAGGCTTTTAAAATTAATAAAAATATTATATTAAAGGGGTTTTATAATTATACTATAGTAGGAGTATAAGGGGCAAAGGTAGGGGTATTTTAAATTATTATA